TTACTAAGAGTATGGAAATGACGTTTAGATCACCACAGACTTTACATTTGCGTTCATGATATTTGATTGAGTCCAAGAGGGCTGTCATACTTGAATATGTCTCCTTCACTGATATGACTCCTTCAGTTCACAGACTGCATGAGCATCAGGAATAGAAGAAAGAAGGTTGCAATTATGTAGTAACACAGCTTTCAAACTAAGCTTGAAGGAGTCTATAAATAACCTCCATTTTTTTGGATCATGGTTCAAATTCAAAGATTTCATCAAGCCATTAATGTCGCAGCAAACAACACGATTATTTTTCAAAATATGAAAGCAGTTCTCTTTAAAGTTTTCTGTACTGTGAAATTCTGACAGATTCGAGAAGATTCCATTGCTATAGACCCAAGAATTTCTGCCTTTTCCTTTGACAGGCCAAGGTCTCTAATAAGATCATTCAATTCCACTTCTCCGGCTCAGTCATCGCGGTATATTATATTTTCCCTAAAAATCAGAGTCACGTGATGTGGAAGGCTTGTTTGGTTCTTCTTCTTGTTCCACGCTGTCTTCATTTTCTACTTCAAGCACACAATTTCCTGGTGGAGTAGGAAGTGATAAACTATCTGAATGCAGAATGGGTCGAAGAGAGCAGACCGAAGGTTCTAGAACTGAACTGTTCTTCTTTTCTTCAGAGAAAATCCTGCCTTCATCTGTATGTTTGTGGACTCTCGCCAAACCATAGGCACAGCGAAAGCCATAGATGGTTTTTTCTTTCTCATCTATTCTCGAAGTGTATCTGAACATACGTTGCAACATAAATGTGGAGCCCAATACTTATTCTGGTCCCCTACTTCCATACCGAAATAATGCTGATAGGCAGTCTTCACAAGAAGTTTCAGGTTGCGTTTCTCTGGGAAAAATGTTATTTCATCACAAATATAACAAAAGTTATTCACCATATTTGCACATTTTCGTGATATTTTTTACGAATTTTACACTAAAAAAGCATTCTCAAACCAGATATTCTGCATTAATTGCAGCAGGAACTACATGAAACTCACAGTTACGGCAACAGTAACTATGTTCATGACTTCCAAAGAGCTGAAGAGCATTTGTGTTTTGTTATTTGACAGATGTACCAACTCAAAAAAAAATTCCCCCAAATTGAAAATGTTGACTAAAAAATGAAATGTCAATTTATTTCCAAAGCAAGAGCTACTTTGTCATTTTTATGGTGATTTTTTAATTCAGATGACGGAAATACATGTCAATTTACTATTTTTGAGCCCGAAACATTTTCATTGTTGCCCAATGTAACTATAGATACTTTTAATATTAAATTGGATTATATATATCATATATATATATAGCTACACAAGTATCATATACAAAAAGAGTACAAAATAGTTGACTATAAGTTTATTTTGTATGCAAATATTTTAAATTTCTGTCACAATTATAATTAGAACTAAATTAAAAGTCCATTTAAAGATTTTCAAATCTAAATTGAATATGATTTAGTTTACTGGTTATTTATTATTTATATTTACTGGTTTACGTTATTCATCAGATAATTTTTTTTACTACCAACTAAGAAAAACAAAATATTTCACATTCTTTAAAATAATAATAAATGTATTCAGTTTAAAAACGTGGAATAAGTTCCTCATCCTTAGTAATTCAACTACATGCTTTGTTCGTCCAGTAAAAGTATATTTTCAAAGTTTAGAGGATTCTTCCTCATCTTCAGAAATGCATTGAACAAAGAATGTATTTTTTTTTTTTCTGTTTGCTTTAGGGACGGTTTAGATTTTTCACAGCCTGAAGCAAGCATAATAACTAACCAGCCATCATGGGCTTTTTCTTTCCGGTATGTTGCATACAGTTCTGCAACCTCTTTGTTGATTCCATCTACCAATTTAGTTTTTTGGCTTTCCATGAGGTCTCTTTGGCCGTCCATCTTAAAAACCTCATTGTCTTCATACCATGAGATATAGACTCACCAGTTTCTGTAAGCAACTGGAACTTTATCCATACTTATCCATGCATTAGTACTCAGATCCCAAATCGCTCGTTATCGTTCCAAGTTTCGTCATTGCAGGTTTGTGCTGCATATCACAGCACTTTACACCATTAAATTGAGATTTTCAGATTTTTTTTTCGGTATTTCAGTAAATTATAAAGAGAAAAGAAAGTTCTGCTTGAATTTTTATATGGGCTAATATGCCCGTGCATAAAACCACAAGAAAAAAAAAAAAAAAGGTATTTGAATTTGCGTCTTGTCATCAGAAACGATTGTCCATATACGCAGATCTTGTTATCTTCATTTACTTGTATGCCAATTTATTCTGTTTTTCTTTCAGTCTGTCAGAGAGTTGAAGACTCTCAGCCCTCTTAATCACTTCCTATACTCGTATGATCCAAGAATTTTATGATATATTGTACACTCATCGATTTCCACATAATTTTGTTCTTATCATCTTCTCCAGGGCGAAATTGTACAACATTGGAGAAAGTTCATGAAATTAAATAAATAAAGTAGTAACGTATTATAGTAAATACTTACTATAGCAGGAGATGGACCTTATTAGAGTAAAATAAATTATCTATCAATAACTTTCTTATTACTTTTCTAAAATATTTTAACTATCTACATTTTTTCGGAATATATCTGAAATCAGAAGAACTTATCATCCGAATCTGAAAAAAAAAAATAAACAACGACTTATGATTATATTTCATTCTTTAAGGCAGACATGATATAAAAATAAATTTATATCTTAAAATATAATTGAAAGCCAATTTGCAAAACTTATGAAAACTATTCGTTCGAAAATTATAGTAATGGGGTTAGAACAAATTTATGTTTAAGCAGCACTTAGGTAGGATCCATGTTATTCAATGTTCTCAAATTATACCATTGAGGGTTTCTCATAATTACCGTAGGTATATTTACCCCTTCGTTTCCTGCGGCCTTCCAAGCGGCCATGGCTACAGTTCTACGGATTACCGCGAGATGGAGGCACTGCTAAAAATATGTTTAACATAGAATAAGTATTAATAAAAGAACAAATCTGGCATTATCTGTACAATACAATCTGAAAAGGAATAAATTCTATTCGAAATTCATTATTTTCATGAAGGATAGAACCCACAAAGTAGGAAAGATTCGGTACAAAGGCTTAAAATTGTTTTTAAATTCTAATAAAACAAAGATTACTAATGTAAAAATCTCAAAAACATACATAAATTAAGTGATAGGATATAATTGAAAATATTCAAACATAAATCATAAGATTCTCTAAAATGTAAATAAACAATTCCTGCATCTTCGGAGCAGAAAAAACCAAGACCACATAAATACTGAAGGAACACAAATCTCAAAAACAAAATAAAGATAATTCAAAAGGAGATTAAATCAGAAGATAACTAAAACCAACAATTAACTATAATATCTGTTATCATTATTATGTTTCACAATATAATTCGTTCTACATTTTGACACATTTGCATAATAAGCTTGCATGAACTGGGTACTTAAATTAAGAGAGAAAATGAATCTGTAAAGAAGGGGTTGGGCTAGATGCTCTAAGGGTCAAGACACAATTGGTTGGCCAAAGCTTGAGTGGCATGATATATCAGTAGTTTCCTGAAATTACATTGATATTATTGTAGTTTTCTCTTTTCTAACAAAGTATGATTTCAATAAGTTCAAATCACAATTATCATCAGATTGTAAAAACACTAACCTATTTAATATTTTCTGGCTGCTTTAGAATTTTATTATTATTTTTTACAAAGATAGAGATTAAAAATATTAATTTACAGTTGAGTGGTTCATCCAAATTAACAAACTATTCTGCTTGAAAATAATTTATGTTTAAATAATCAGCTAATGAATTTATATAATCGGCTCTATGTTATTGATGATGTATTCATTATTTACTCATATCACTTTTAAAAATGTTTACTAACTCATGGTTTCGACAATTGATTGGAAAAAAAAAATAATTTAATCTAAATCAATGCTAGATACAAAGGACACTTGCTTGGCAAACATGTTTAAGCAAACATGACAGATTTCCAGAAATTGCCAAAAAATTGTAGAGGTTTATTGGGATGATCTTGGATAGAGTAGCATAAAGTGATTATTGAACGTAATGCTAGTGTATTGTTAGTGCAATAATGTATACATGGATAAATAGTGTAAGATAAAATTAGAAATTTATGAATGATCACAGCTTTAGTAGAACTCCAAACATCAATAGTTTATACATATATATATATATATTTTTTTTTATGAAAAGTTAAAAAGTAAATAATTCATATTTAAAAACTTTAAATCGTAAAAATACTAAACTTTTAAATAGGTTTTGTGAATTTTAACCCTATTTATCAACACAAAAATACAATAAAGCAATCAAAATCACACAAATCCTATAATATATCAAAAATATATACATAATGTTCTGATTTCAGAGAGAAAATATTCATCAAAGTAATTACTGATTAAGTTTTATAAAATGTTGGTTAGTGACATTTTGAAGTAAACTGACAACATCATACATTATGTGCAGTAAAACGATGAAAACACATTGTCAGGATTTTTCGTTAAAAAAAAAAAAAAACTTGTAATGAAACATTTATATTCAGATCACATTTATGATAAGAAACTGTAGACACATTATCAATATTTTATAAAATGGTTTCATCATTTTCCTGTCATTGGTCCTTTTAATTATGCATAATCTCCAGTAGATCAGCTGAGATTGATCGGTAGACACCATTCCTATCAACAATTACTGATGCATTTTAATTAACTCTTAATGCTATTGGTTTTAAGACTGTTCCATTTATGGATCTGATCACATGTAGTTGTGCAGAAACACAAGACGTTCCAGAAGAAAGCCTCACCGAAACTTTACTAGAAAATAATTATCACTGAAATCACTAAAAACCAACATATTTTGGAGTCTTTCCCAAGTAATTAAATTAGCTGGGTATGTAATACATTTGTAGAATCATTTAGATAATGAAACCCAGCGATTGTACAATGTTTTAGAGATCTTTCCAGCAGAGTGCAACTTATTGATAAGCTCAGCTCGCTTTGCATCAGAACTTTCAGGAACTGAAAGCAAGCGTTTAAGAAACACTTTCTCATAATACTGTTTTCTAAAAACTGATGCTTCAAGCAGTGGCTTTGGAATTTCTTGGTTTTCTTGAAATATAGATATTGCACGACAAACATCTGCTTCTTGCCCTTCCTATAAATGTTATAAATAAATAAAGTTATTCTTAAATAAATACAGAATTTTTTAAAACTCAGAAATGTGAATCATACCTCATCTTTTTCATAGTAATCATTAAAAATTCCAATGTAATCTGTAGTTTCATTTAAATCAGACAGCCTAGTTTTGCAAAGAGCAATATATTCTGAAAAATGTTTTCTGCAACTAGCTGGAATAGTAGGAACCTAATAAAATTTAAGATTTCTTGTCATGAGAAGGATAAGTAATGAAAAAACAAAAAAAAAAAAGATGAACACAAAAAATGAATAACCATACTAAATTGTGGAAAAACAAGGAAATGAAAGCTTCACTCTTGATTACGAAGAACCTGTTGGTTACATTAGACTATGACCATAAATGAATGGTTCAAGAAACAGAGACATCAAACAGCAGGAATATTATGGATATATAAAATCTTAAGATTAAAAGAGCTCTATTACCATATCAGTTATCTTCTAACAGGCTCACCCAATTCTTCCAGCTGATTTCACTCAACAGTTTTACGATACCCTGGGCCTGCTTTGAGTGTACCCAGGCTTCGATAAATGAAATTCAATTCACATATAAATATGAAGAGTAACAACCAACACTCCATGCATCATCAGGAAGTCAATTACAAAAATAACTAGATATCTGACAGATAAAAATAAAATATAATATATAGTTTCTTAAAGGTAAGCAAAACAATCTTTTATCTTCCTATTGAGATATATCTTTTTTTTATCATATTTTTCTCTTACATATTCAACGTTTTGAGGCTCTGCCTCATCTTCGGGAATATTCTATTCCCTAATGTTCCTAAATATTGTCCTGTTCAAATATTTAAAAATGTTTTTTTTTTATTTTGTCATTTTTCTTAAATTTTACTTCTATTCCATTTGGAGCATTCTGATCTTGCATTGTCACACAATAGTGTGATTTATCATTAAAAAAAATAATATATATATATGTATATATTTGCAACAAATAATTCCTAATCAACTTACAGTAGAAAACAAAATAAGATGAAAGTAAAATTGTAATAAATTGAAAATGATTATAACTCAGAAGTAAATGTTAGGAAAAAAAAATTACTAACACAACTATTATATAAAGTTAGTCTTTACAAATGATTCTTTTTTTTTTTTTACTAACAACATTTTTAATAAACCTATTCTAAAAATATATTACCTTATTAACATGAATTTTCAGGTACAATGGAGGTTCATCAGGGACGATTTGAGTCAAACACTCAAAAAAGAATGTAAAAGCAACAACATTTTTTATACTTAATGAACTAAACCAAGTTGGATAACTATTAAAATATCTAGCTTTTTCAGCACAACAGTGACGTGCAACTATTAGCGTATTAAAAAGCAGAGTTTTATTTTTCTCTTCAAGAGAATTTTTAAAAAATTCATCAACCATACCTAAAAATAAACAGAAGTAAATGAAAGTAAATTAAAAAAAAGTAAAAACTATCATAATTTTCCTGATTACTCCTAATAATCCTTTCAAATCTCTTCTTATTTCCAGCATTATTCAAAAAGCTTATCCCTCTCTTCCCTAATTTCCCGCCCTCCCATGCCTTTCAATTTTTACCATGTAGTAGCAAGACCAGCATTTTCAATATTACAGAAATGTTTTGTATTTAGTTTTTTCTTTTAATTATCTAGTCTCCATTGTTCCATGAATTATTATCATTATAATTTTTGTCACAGAATAATTTTTAAAACTTCTTTTACTGTTTCTACTGCAAACTGAGACAAAAGATGAACCCATGATCTCAAACATTACGGTAATTCTTATTAATGACTGCTATTACTAGCAGATCCAGGATTTCATTCGTAGAGGGGAGGGGTTTCAGCCTGAAAGCTTCTTTTTTTCTTTCAAATATAACGATAATATCTTCGGAAGAAAAAGAAAGAAACTAACCACCTATACGAAATGGCGTTTAAGTGTTTCTTGAAGCCCTATTAAATATAATTACATACACACACAATAATACTTTAAGCGATAATTTTATAATATTTTTAATCCCTCCCTCCCATAGATCCGCCTGTGACCCCTATTAACTACTATGGAAAAGAAAGAATAAAAAATATAGATTACTAATTTGTTTATTCTTTTCCTTTCAAAGGAATACCTTTTAATAACTCTGAATTTTGATGTTGTTGTATAAATACAGAAATAATGGATGATAAATATTTCCAATTAAAATTTCCTATAAGTACTGCATTACTAAGAGTATTCAAAACTGTTTTTGAATCCAATCCTGATATCATCTGAAAATAAATATTTTAAGATGTTATCTTGATAATGCTTAAATTAAGAATAAATGTAATTCAATTAGTCAGATAACAAACCTCACTAAGGAATGTCTTAACATCCGGTGATAGCTTTTCATAAATCCAAAGCTTGGCATGGTTATTAAGTATGAAAGAAAATTCATATGAACTGTTTTCACCACTGAGTAAGGCACTCATATGATCTAATAAAAAAGTATTTAAAGAGTCAGAATTAATACTTTTTAATATTTTCAGGCTTTGTATGTACTGCCATTTAAGTTCACTATTAGATTCGAAATATTCAAGTACCTAAAAAAAATTAATAGCAAATAAATTTACTAATGTTTCTTTGAATAATACCTTTTCTAAATTTAACTAACCTTAGCAATGGTAGAGCTAAGAATATTTTCTTCAAAGAATTGAAAATAAGTGCAATGCCTAATGTTCAATATAACCCGAAATGCATAAGTCAAAATCTTCTTAATCTCTTCATGATAGTCATCATCATTCTGAAGTGCACTTGAAACTATTTCATTCAAAGCAGTACAATATTCTTTGTTGCTATAACAAAATATTTTTAAAAATTAGGTACTATAAAAAATTGTGAATTAAAAAACTTTATTGAACTAAATGGCCTTACAAGTAGATATATGTAGTGAACTTCAATAAATTTTCAACATCCAAGGCCCAAAGTAAGTGTAACGGAGGAGTGATATCCTAACAAAAATAGACTTTTTTCAATTAAAATAATTAATAGAAAACATATAAGTTAATAAACTATATAAAAATGATATCAAATAACTCAAAGTAAATGGATCCTTTGCCTAACAATTTTACAGCAAAAAACAAAATATTTTAACCTTGGGATACATTGTAAGTGTCAAAAATATTATTAATGAATATTCTATAAGCTCCGAATGTTATTGATTGTTCTTTTATCAACAATAATAACTCATATTATATCAATTACAAGAATATCTGAGGAACTAAAACTGATTTGTTATTTGCTTATTATGACGGTATATTTACATCTGCGCCACCTGAGAAAAGTGTATTAGGTGTAATTTTCAGAGGTATCACTAGAAAGCTATTTTTTTTCTCTATCTGTGATCTAATGGGCTAAGTTATTCGACTATCACAGAGATGAACAATCCCTTGGATATCCTGGGTTGTAACTCAAAAATTAAGCTAATAACTGTAAAAATTCTAAACTCAATTGAATTTTTCCATAAATATTATTTTCGCACTTAACACACTATGCACAGATGCTACAGATGTATACTTAATTAACATATTTCAGTACCTCAACTTTAAGCCACTCATCAAGAATAAAAAATGAGTCCACATAGCCTCTTTTTAATTCATGTATAATCATCAACACTATCTCTTTTTCTTCAGCAACAATTAATAAGGGATCATCTCTTTCGGATATTTTAATGAGCATATTTAAAACATCCTTATTTGATAGGTTCAAAGGAAGTTTTATTGAAGACATGTTCTAATTGTGGTATTTATAAGTCACTCATTAAAACTGTTACATTTAAAATTGTAAGAACAGTATTTGGGCATATTGATGAAAGAGAAATAGAAATAGATAAATAAATATTTATTGGATTTTCATAAATGAAGTAATTCCTTGAAAAATAATTTTCTACAATTCAAGTTCTTTGAAATGTAACCGCGCTAACAAACAGACTCTGTCGCTCTGAGCAATCATTAGTTAACGAGTCGGTAAAAAATAATTCAGCATAGAAGTAGATTTAAGGATGTTCAGAAATTGCGATATTAACGTACTTTAATAGATGTATAATATAATATATAAATCTATTATTATTTATTTAATAATATAAGTTTAATAGACGTATAACACCAGAATCAATTAAAATTTAAAAGTTTTATCATTTACAAGAATCAGAGTAAAATATTACTAAAGTACTACGGCTACTAATTGTGATACAGTCAAAAACCTCTGTGTTTGAGATATGTATCGATTAGTGCCACATTCAGAGAGTAAACAGTCGGATGGAGTATGAAACCTACTCCAATTGAGTGTGTTATCGGCAAATGAGTATGTTTGATTGAAAGAACAATCTCAATGTTGTTAAATTTAACTATATACTGAAATGGCTGAATTAGATGTATTACCTTTAGTCGATTCATTAGATAAGAATGACATTACAGAAGAAATTAAGAAAGGCATTGCAGAAATTAATACTGATAGTAATGAACGTATGAATATAGACCAAACCGAAAGTGTTTTGCAAAGCAATGAAATATCTTATTCAAATGTTGAAAGTGAAAGCAATGAGGTGGTCTGTGATAAGCAGGTTGATGAGACTGAAGTTCATCAATATCCAGATATTTACAAATTTGAAAACCAGGCTGAAATTGCTAATTTCAATGCACCTCACATGAAACATTTTGCTGGATGTAAATGGTAAAATTTTTTTCATATATTCGTGTGTGGATTATTATTCAATTTAAGGCATGCCTTTAGATTATATGTTGATTTATCATTAATTTGGAGTATGTTACATTAACATTCATACATCTAGAGAACATAAACCTGAAGTTTAACTGTTACTTACTTCTACATGATACAATTAATGTTTGAAAATATGGGTTTTGATTTTTTATGTTCTGCGTCTTGATTTTTGAAGGAACTTAATTCCAATTTATAATAAATATTTATGTGTTTCTTGTATTTTTCAAGACTTGTTAAATATGAGTTTTATTCCGATCAATAACTGAACTAATTTCTATTAAAATATTATTTGAATGATCTTTAAGGGATGATTCATACATTTCCTAGAAAGTGAACTAGGAGAAGTATGTATCATAATTTATCTATATCTCTTATTCAAAATAACATTGAACTTAAAAACCTTTTGTATTATAAAATATACCATTAGAATTAAAATAGATTGAATCATTCTAAAAAAATTTACTGAATTTTGTTTTGAATAATTTGAAAGTTAGGCTGGGCATACACGTTCCGGTACACAGTATATCTAGTGAGATTTAGCTGTGCAGATAAACTGGTGCATGTGTGCCAGTCAGTGCAGACTGAACTGCTCAGGTTTAGCGACCTGTGAATGCGACTGGAGAAGAATCAAAACTTAGTATTTTCTACCTATATATAGACCTAAACATGTTTATGTCACTCCTGTATACTTGTATAGTTTTTTAGTACAATCTGTAATCAAGTAAACAATCATGTCGTCTTCATATTTGCTTGCCAGCTCTCGACTGAGTTAAAATAATTCGGTTTCTGTAATGTGTGTGTGCTCTAGACTGCACTGGTACACAGTTTACCTGACAGGTTTACCAGAATGTGTATGTTTTTTTTTGTTTTTTTTTTTAAATGAAGATATATTATTTTCACATGATATTTAGTTTATGTTGCGTATTCTAGCTGTTAATAATAATAATAATAAGGCTTAGCGAACCCGAAGGTTCGATGCCGACACCACCAATCGCCTGTTACACACCTCCCTCCACCGTTCGCCGTCCAAACCCAGTCCCTTCAGATCGGCTTTAATGCAATCTTCCCACCTTCGCTTCGGTCTACCCCTCGGACGCTTACCATTCGGCACAGCAAATATTAACCTTATTCTAGCTGTTAGAAATTCAATTAAATTAGTCAGTTAATATAGTGGAACCTAAGGTAAGGAGTTTTAGGGCCCGAAATTGCTCAAGATTATAATGCCCTTAGAATTCCTACTAATGACATGACCATTATTTTACTTTAATAATATTCTTTTACATATTACAGTGGATCCCTGGTTTCAATGAGTTTATGGAAAAAATTGATTTTACAGTATTTATTTTTTAAATTTTAATCTCTTGATTTCTATTGATTTTTTTTAATCTTTGAGGAGAAAGTAATATAAATACATTCAAATATCGCAGAAATATTAATTAAAAATTTAGTTAATTTTCAATTATTATAGCTAAGTCATTAAATCAATCACCATTTTCCTACAATGAGACTTTCTGTATGATGTCTGAACATTAGTTTTAAAGAATAATTTATTAATGGAGCTTTTATTGTGTTTATAACACTTCACCTTTTATGTTTTGATGTAAACATTTATTTTATTGAATTTGTAGGTCTCCAGATGGTACTTGCCTTTTGACAAATTGTGTTGATTACACTTTAAGGATTTTTGATTTACCAAAAGACATCCATTCCAAAACTAATTGGAATTCTTCTGAAAGTATGTCAGAACTCCAACCGTCTCTTGCGATGAAGGAAGGAGGCAGGATTTACGACTTTGTCTGGTATCCGCTAATGTCTTCATGGGAACCTTTGACATGCTGGTGATTTAAAATCTTTTCAAATTTTTATGTATCAGCATTGTTAGATAAAATTAATCTCAATTTGTAGTTTGTTTTAGTTTTATTAGCAGTAGTGTAGGCTCTCCTGTTCATTTATGGGATGCATACACTGGAAAAATACGAGCTTCGTACAGAGCTTATGACTTGTAAGTGTAATTAATCATTCTGTATATCACATCTGTTTCATCCTAAAGTAACTACTATACATTAATTTAAAATTGCATAAAATCATTAAGTTGAATGATGTATGCTAATTAATAGAAGAAAGCATATAGATAAACTTTCATTTAAAGTTTTAGTACCTTAACTTATATTACTAATGAAAATTGTATTTCTTCAATCCTAATATTCACCTTCAATTTTTTATCATTTTAGTGCAGATGAAGTGCACTCAGCATTATCTCTTGGTTTTTCAACTGATGGAGTTCTTATTTATTGTGGCTTTCGTGATGCTGTAAAAGTGTTTGATATATCAAAGCCTGGGAGAGATTGTAGTACCATAAATTTAAAAGGTAAACCAAAGGACAGTTTGAATTCTATTTTTAATAAAATAAAATTTCTAATTCAGAGAAAAAATATTTGCTGTATTCATTTTAATCAACTTTTAATTATTGAATATAGTTGTCAGTGGACAGAAAGGTCTCGTTTCTTGTATAACAGTGAACCCATTGATGCCAGAATTATTTGCTGTTGGAACATATTCTAGAAGCATTGGTAAGTACATTCTTTTTTTTTTAATGATACTATTTGTCATTTAGTATAACTTGAATATTTTATGATTCTATTATAATATTAATGAACTGATATAATCTTCATAGTTTAAATATAGCCAGAACATGGCATACATTAGAGATTTATTATCTTTGTTATGGATATTCTTGATCTGACAATGAATAATTAAATAGGGTTTTCCCTGTTCTACAGTCATTTCATTCCACCTTATGTGTGTTCACTAAACCTTTGAGATTGAAAAGATTATTTCATCTTATTCAAGCAGAAGGAAATGGAACTTCTTTATTGAATTACTTCTCTTCTCAAAATAGCACATATCTCATATTAATATATTCATATTTCTTGTACATATTATTACTATTGCATATTATTAGTCTCTAATTTGTTTTAGGATTGTATTCCAATTCTGATGAATTTATATGTATGTTAACTGGACAACATGGTGGAGTTACTCAATTGAAGTTCTCAAATGATGGTCTGAGATTGTATAGTGGTGGAAGAATGGACAAAGAAATAATTTGTTGGGATATTCGTAACCCTGGTTCAGTCCTTTCTACTTATGAAAGAGTTGTTACAACCAATCAAAGGATTTATTTTGATATGAGCCCGGATGATAAATATCTAATCTCTGGTAGTATATTACTTGGAATAGTGACATATGTTTATGATGTTATTAGGATTCTTATAGGAACTGGACAAGAGGCTTAGCCTGACTCTTCCATTATTGCTGCACTTGTTATTTTTTTTTTTTCCGTGTTAATTAAACAGGAATTTTTCAAATTTTCCGTCTTTTAATCAATACTCACAATATGTTTGAATTATTTATTTTTAAGTTCTTTAAACCCGAATTAAATAGGTGCATACTAATGATTGGCTACAGGCTTTGTATCTCTACAATTTCTTCATTAAACTGTATTAACTATGAAAAATTAATAAAATAATTACTTAATGAAACAGCATAGAACAATTACTAATATTAATACTTTTCTGATATAGGAGGAACTGATGGAATCTGTAGAGTTTGGAATTTACACGAAGGAACAAATTTCAATTCAGAAGGAAGATTGGAAGAATGCTTTAAATTCAAGACAAACAACGACTGTGTCAATGGTGTTAGGTGAATATATTTTTATTTCAATTTTTATCTATTCAACCTGATAAATATTTTAAAAATAATGAATAGTTTTTTTTTCTGTGTAGTCCAATTTACGATTAATTTATTGTTTCAATTTTAAATATATTTTACAAAATATATCATTTTATATTATAACTTATGGTTAGTATTATAAATTTTGATCATTTCAGTTAATTTTTTTAAATTTGTTTAAAATTTTAATTAATTGTGATATACTAGTTGATGATAATTTATATTGATATTTTTTTCAGTTTGCATAGAAGTTATCCTGTTTTAGCAACTTCCTCTGGACAGTATCATTACCCTCATCTGATAGAAGATGATGATGATGAAAAAATATTCAAGCCTAAACAAAAATATGAATTCGAGAATAACGTGAAACTGTGGTGGATTGGCCCATTTACTAGTGATAATGAAAATATGTCTCTAGATGCGTAATATTTTAGATGGGGCCCTCCTACCTGTATATATGTATTATTTTTATGAATTTATTACTTTGGGCTAAAAAAAAGTTATTTTAGAACACTGTTCAAAGTCAAAATTAATAAGTACTGATTTTATTTAATTTTATTATTTTTATTAGTTCAATATTGAATAAATCTTAAAAATTAATAAGATCAAAGTTTTTCAGGGAACAATATTTTTTTATAAACCTAAGGCTGTAAATATGATCTGTGTTGATGTAGTTATAATTTGATTTTTATTATAACTGTAAATAGAACTCAAGTTTTTGAAAACTAGGTCCTTCTTTACATTAGGATTAATTAAACGAGAAAATAGTTCAGTGAAGTTTCATTGCAAGTAAAGGATGTGTATCGGTTCATTTAATTTTAAAGTAAGGAGCTATAAACAGCACAAAATCATCTAATGAAATGTGGTTTACCTTTTGTTCATTAGAATTATTAAATTGTTATTTACTTTTGATGTATTAAACATAATCATTATTTTTTTAAACTATCAAAATGAAATTTTTCTCATCTAAAATAGGTTTTATTTTAATTTTTTTAGTTTGTGTTGTAAATAGTTGTATTTACTAAAATAGAAGACAAAAATGTTAATATTATGTAAATAAAATATTTTTTAAATTAAATATAAATCTATATATCTCTTATTGTAATGCTATTAACTGTTTATCTGTTTAACTGTACAGTCAGCTTTTCCGGTTCTTGGGAGCAATAGATAGATTTTCGACAAAGGAAGGAGTCGAAATATTGATTCAGAAATTTTTACTACAATTTTAATAAAAGAATTAAGAATTATAAGTGGTTTTAAATGTTCAGTGTGGGATCGGACCAGCTTTAAAGATTTTGACACGATTATAAAGACTGGGTACTAGATGTTTTTCAGAATGTATGCGATTCAGGATTTTAAAGCCATAAAATTTACAATCTTCGAATTATGACACCATTCCAACCTAGTTCTAGCAATAGCCTCCTAGATACCCCAGTTACCGTAGGATATTTATTCCTCATAGACTTAAAGCTATCAGACAATTAAGCATTTGATAAGCAGTGGAACGTTTGGCAATTTTAAACAGTTAACATGACATCTTTATTAGCAGATGTTGGATCCATGCTTAGGAACTGGAATTGGAGAGCGGCAGCATAGAACAGAGATGACTGGATGAGGGTCAAAGCTGCAAGAGGCCTTGTCTACACTCAGGACATAATGTTGTAAAAGAAGAAGAAAAACATGACATCTTTGATGGACATAAACATGGAGTTAATATCTTATAGAAAGCTTTGAGATGTCGTCAAGTTTCAAAATGAGAAAAAAAATTATATTAATGCAAAAACTGGTTGGAGTTGTACTAGACTATTTGGAAGGTGAATCTTTGTCGAATTTTCGGTAATTTTTCTTGAATCTTTTACGCTGGTGTCTCTCCTGACCAATATTTAAAGTGGTGTATCTGCTGGATTTTTGCAAAATTTGGGCTGTAGCTACATCAATCCAGAAAATTTTTTTTTTTTTTAATTGCTTCGCATTTATATGATTGATCTAAGCTAAATATTTAAACATTCACAGTATGTCTCTTTTTGAATTATCATGCATATACGCAATGCCAGTCTAAGACATTTGGTGCCACCGGGCAATAATCTCACATCTCTCTCCAAGAAATTAATTTTTTTCTTAACCCCTTTTAAGAAAAAATAAATTAATTACAAATTAAGGAATATTTGAATTGTATTTCATTAAATGTATCTAATTCAGTTGCTCCAGTTTTCAGGCTGCTGCCTCCAGGTAATGCAGCTACTAAATATAAGCACTTATCAAGGAAAATATTATCTCTAAAAGCTTTATTGTTCCTTTAATTATCTTTTATTTATTTATTTATTTATTTTTGAGGAGACTTCAAAGACCACTTTAAAATCATTTCATATAGTTAGTGTATTTCTTCCTGTGTCATTACTATTTAAAAAATACCTTAAAAAAAATTAAATCCTGGATTCACTACTGGCTCAAATTGAGATACAAATTTGAAAAATATCATAACGAAAATACATGGTAAAATAGCCACGGACTATTCAAGTAAATAATTAGTGAAATATATATAAATAAATATATTAATTTTTAAAACCTATTAATATCTAAAATATATAACTGTAATCTAAATTGTGGTATATTCATTAATCCCCTAATGTGATAAACATGTTTTTTTTTTGTTTTTTTTTCTATCCCTCCAAAACGTTTATTTAATAAATTACATATAGAAGTAGAACAATACTAATATATACATATAATAAAATCCTTCCACTGCCCGAGGGCATGATAAACACGTTAAAAGGTTTGTGATAAATAATAAATTGTTTAACGATTATTATTCTCCGGATACTAAAAGATTATTATTATTCTCTGTTTAGAGAAGTGAATTTTACAAAAAATTTCAGAGCAACAAATTCAGTATTTGTCCTAAGGATGTATAAAAAAACTTAATAAATAAAGGACCAGTGTTTCGAGTTAAGGCCAATGAAATCCTGCTGTTTTTTGGGTGGAATATAAACCAAGGTCAAGGATGTTAGCCAATAAAACTGGTTGGAGGTCAAGTAGGATTTGGGCACAAAAATTTCAGGTTTTAATTTTGCAATAGAGAAAACGCTCTAAACATTTCAAAAACGACTTAAAATCAAAAGGAGCGAATAAAAAAATATATTAAACCATGAAAAAATATCCATTCCACCTTCATTTGTACAGGCAGCAATTAGCTCATAATTTGGCATTAAATTTACAGGTGTATTGCGAAAACATAAGGAAACAACCTTTTAAATATTTCTCCTCCCCTCCCTCCATGGTTTGTGAAATGTCTAAACGCAGCTTAAGAATTAAATCAAATTTTTAACGAAATACAAATACATAGCAACCCGGGGACGAATTCGATACTACCTCGAAAATATTATTTTATTTTTTACCTAACACTCCAACATTACTTACCAAATATTTATAAACATATAAATAACTTGAAATATTACAGCACTGTCTTTCTGTATATGCAGGGGTGCCCAGAAGGGGGTTTCATGGCTAAAGTTGAGCCATCAAAATTTTTGAGGGGACATATTTTGAATTTTTGAGAGGGGCCAATTTCAACAGGGTTATTTTAGAACTAAGGGACAAGGGGGAAACATAGGACAGACCGCAGCAAGTGTAATTGTATACTATCTACGGTTTTTTCTAATTCTACCTTGGCTTCCTCTGTTGGAAAAGGTAAGGAATAAAATATCTTGGGAGGAGGGGGCAGGTAAGTTCTTGCTCCATTAACCTTGGGGGAGGGGATGGGCACCCCTGCGTATATGTATATATTTGTGAATATTTTATAAGTAATATCGAAGATTTAAGGAAAAAACAAAATGTGAGTTTCAACTTCGGAGGAAGGTTAACGTCAGTAAGTTACTGATTTAATATAAGAAATTTTTTGGAGAATCTACTTGAAAAAATATTATATTTATATATATATCCAGCCGTTCACACCAATCGGCCTTACGAAACAACAACAAAAATTCATATATTTTCAAAAAACATTTATGTTATTTCTTGTTCCTTTACAAATTTCACAGATTTCTAGGACATTACATACTAATCGATTTATTTTGTTGGGCAGAATATGAAAACAAAATAGCCGAAATGAGCTACGATGTATCATAAATTACAACTTATCTCGATTGAACTATAATTTAATAATTTAAGAACAAGTATCAATATCTTATTTATCGCTAAGCACTCACCAAAACCACAAAAATCTTTTCAAATCTATCAAATATAGTTTCAATAAGTGCATAATGTTCCGATTTCAAAGAGTATATGTAAAGTTTAATTTTATCTTGGTTTAATTTTATGAAAGACTACTTAATGTGATAAACCGACGATATAAACAATAAAACCCTATTAAAAATTATTCAATTAGTAATTTCGAACTAATTTCTTCTGGATCATAAGGAAAAAATTAATTTTAAAATGAAAAATAACTACTTATTACATTATGAAACACATCTTATTTTGTTAATCTTATTTGGCGGAAATAATGCAATTTGCTTCTTCAAATTAAAATTTTGTTTAGGAGAGGGGGGTTCTCCCTCTCTTTGGACCCATCAATATGTGTGTCACAACTGTATCTCGCTCTCAAGGTTTTTCATTTTGTCTATTTTAAAAATTTTTTTTATAACGATAACTCTGGAAGAAAATATCATAAAATGATGTTCTTGAGGGCCTACCTGAGGTCAAAACAAAGTAACAGCAATTACAGGGAATGCTTATAGGAATAAAATTTTTATATCTGTATCTAATTATTATATTCAGTAGCTGTGCATGCTTTATAATTTAAAAAAGAGTAAAAAAAAAGTTATTGCTCTTCGCTTCTTGAATATCGTGTTACACGTTGTTAAATACAGCGCTTCTTATTCTTTTCTGTTTTCCCTATGCTATGTCTTGGGGTGTTTAATTTATTCGGGATGTCACCGGATAATTATTGATGATAATTAACCAGAATTATTTAATAAAAAATTAGTCAAAGAAATTTGGATATATACGTTATTGATTGGTCCAGAATTAATTAATTGGATTTCTTTTCTCAAAGGCTGGTTTGTGTTTATCTTGCTTTCTAATTACCTACATTATCTGTGATCATCAAGACATGAATGGATGGCAGACTTCTCCAAGACGCCCATCTGTGTGGTCTATGTAGGGCAAAGGCTTCCGTCCCTAAGCCGGAAGAAAACATTAGACCTATCCTCCAGGCCGAAAAATCCACATCAGCTCCCCTTTCTTACTTCTCGGCGTATTATATACAAATATTAAGGGTGGGGCAAGGATGATTTTCATTGTTCCTTAACTTCACCCTATTACTTTACAATGACTGTTAACAGCCTAAAAGGAACCAGTTACTTAGCCCGTTACTAGCTTTTACTTAACGCTTGACACTGTTTTTTATGTCCTAAGTTTCTTTCACC